GGAGCCTGTACAGAGTGTTCATAATGGGAATGGTCGATGGATCAATTGGAGGCAGAATGGATTCAAGAACATCAGTATAATTTGGAACACAAATTTCATCGGGTTTATCTGTGCACAGAGTGAGAGAGCGAAAAACTACCGTCCTTCGAGATGCACCAGCATCCGACAAGTAGCATACGTAATGACAAGAAAACTGGTGTAGATCACGGTTCACGAGCTTTAGGAGAAATCATGTATTGATTGATTGGAATGGGCCATACCTCACGAACTTCAACTTCACACACATTCCCCAGCTGTTCCACTAAACTATATACTCAAAAGCGCTAGATTCGAGTTTGGTTCTTAATAGAGCTCATCAGTAGTGCATATCCACTGGGATTAAAAAAATGCGAAGAGGTTATATATCTTCGGCCTATGTTACGTGGAACGCATCTGTCATTTCGACAGTCTGTATTTATCAGGGGGCAGATACTGACAAAGTTTCACTGATCATGCCTCGAATACAGTTGAACGAAGACAGTCTGGACCATTTTTAGGATGCTCATTCAGAAGTTGACAGTTTAATTTATTTTTATATTACGGTCTCATCTATGCCAGTGTGGCAGTTATATTCGTGAACGACGTTACAGTTTTACGTGCATCCAGTCCTTCACTGAAACTTACCAATAAACTGTGCGTTAAATTACTACGAAATAGATCGGGGTGTCGAAGGCAGGCTATTCTTTGACCAGATGAACTTGCGAGACGAATCGTTGAAGGATTTCATCGCTTCATTGGGCGAATACTGGGCAAATGCGAATAGGGCCCATTTTCATATCCGAATTCGATTACTCTCCAAGTGTACCGGAGGCCCCGCATAAAAAAACTTCGACAATATCTGCAGTGTTGAGCCCAACTGTAGCCGAACGAGTGTTGCATCGTTTTGAATCTTCATTACCCTTCACTAATACGCACCTCGTGCAGTCGATTATGCAGAAAAGTACACATTACACGATTTCCCAGTTAAAAAACACAAAAAGCCCCAGTTGAATCAGTGGTTGGTAAACAGACCGCAACAAAGTCCAATACGATAAATCAGTCGGTGTAGAAAAAAAGGAGAAACTCACAAGATGTTCCAGTATCCGGATCGAAATGATCGTGCTGTCACAAGGGAAAGATTCATCACATAACAAACGCAGAGCGATGAATCCAGAATCGCTTTGCCCTTGAAACACGTGAGCACTCACATCAAGAGTGAATAAGAAAACGGATTTGTGTGTCGTTTCCCCAAACGTCTGCCCCACAAACATTGCTCGTCCCAATACAAAACTGGCTATGCAAATAGGGAACATTCCGGGACTGCATTAAGAAGATCGGGAACAAAATTCGATCTCCCCAAAACATGCAATATTCTATCACTCAGACACGGAAGACATTGTTCTAACTAGGCAATTTATTATTATTTTATGGTTTGTTGTTTTTCCTGTGAAAAGCCTATTCTCCATTTATTTGTGAAAGGAGGGGGGAGGAGGCGATGCTGTGGCCCACAGGTGACTGGTACGTTTGTCATACATGTCTGTGGCCAGATTGATTGATTGGTTGACTATTTGAATGCCGGTTTGACGGTATATGTATGTTGCGTGACGTGTGAGCCTGCATCGGCTTGCCTACCTTCCTACGTGTTGCCAGCTTCTGCCTGATCTCCGATCTATGAACCGGGNACATGTGCGCCTACTGCAATCACCATACTGCCGAGTTCACTGCGTGCTTACCTATCTACTTAAACAGGGACACAACAAAGTGGTAGGATTATTTCCAACTAGGTTGAACGGAGATCATGTTGTTTCGTCTGACACGTGAAACAGTGTACAAATTATTTAAGACATCCGATGTCAGAGGATGCAGACGATTGATTAATTACCATTTGGCGATTCTAAGCTATTCAGACAATGAGGTTATTTTAATCCTAATTTAGATTAATTCGTTATAGATATCTAAGGAATCAGGTAGATGTGAATGGGTCATGCGATGGTCTTGCTTGAATACCGTTATCACCGCAAATTCTATGGGCGAGAAATGAGCCCATGGGTGGGAAACGAAGTTCGTGCTTAAAACCTACATATGCGTAATAACGAGGGACTTCATCCGAACTGACTACTTGTGAGTAGTCAGTTTCTGAATACAATTAACGGAACACCGTTCCACTAATTATGCTATACACCGTACACGTTCGTTCACTAACTGAAACGTAAGCATATAAGCTTACACGCATTGTACAAATACAACCGGTCAACCCAATGCGCTACCTATACATATGCCAGCTTTTTTTACGTTGGCGATATATGAACATTTCGCGACATTGGTCTTCTTTCGGTAGAGCTGAAATGGACTAAGGTGACTCAATGTCTCAAATCTCTACAGATTTCCCACTGAAGACTGTGTACAGGCCCTGACACCCCGAATGCAATTGTACTACCTGCTTGATCACTTTAAGTCTGATCCTTGTCTCGAAACAACAGGAGTACATTACCGACAAACAGGATGGCCTGGCGGATATTGTCTGCTGCATACAAGAAGCCATTAACAAACAGCGTGTCACATAGGGGTGATAGAGGAATTTATCCGGTAAAATGGTGAATCTTGTTGCGTACAGAGTAAATAAAGTGAACTGAAAAGTTGTTTCGACCTGGTTGGGTCTGATCGAAAATTACGTGTCATTTGAAGAAACTATGACTCTCGAAATAATTCATTTTCTCGAAGAGTGGATAAGATCTCATTCTCACTCACCAAAACATCCTCGTCCAGAATGTTACCCCTAAACTACCCCCAGGATGACTCTATTCGCTGTATCCTCGTGGTGACAACTTTTTCAGTAAAGTGGGATAGCGGAAAACCAAACCAGGATCAATTAATTTTCAGCCTAATTCATACTTCTGGACTTTGGGTATACATGTGCAACCCACCCTGAAGGTTACACTTGTTGTTCCGATTGACGAAATCAACTGACATGATAAACCAAGCTGTGGACTTGATCGAAATTCAGCACATCATTCTGACGAGATGCAAAGTGTCATCATTATCATCATACAGTGAAGCGAACTTCACTGATCGCTGCCAAGCTCACAATGTACACAAATCAAGTGGTAAAGCAAAAGACGGAGAAGGATTGTACGGAGGCCAAGAGTACACAATCTAAGTGTGCATACATACCTTTTCAAGGATTCCGGTTTGATAAGAAATGATAGCCAGAACGCCACTGTTGTCGGTTAGTCGCCATATCCTTCAGTGTCTCCAAGCAGCCAGTTGCAATCTTTTGGACCCCAACCTGGAAGATGGGAGACACCTGTTCTACCTAATTGTTTTGACCATTTTTCCATGCCATCTGTTGACCTACGTGTGGTTTCTTCCAATCAGGAGCCGCAACTGCGAAAAAGGCGCGGTGCGGTAGACGATGGCTGAGCATGTGCAATACGTGTTTCAACCAACGAAGCCGACTAATCCAAATTCGATGGAACAACGAATTCCCCATCAAACCATTACCGAATATTCGACGCCTCACCTCAGAGTTGCTTACACGTTCACTCCACCTAACCCACGCCAAACTAGGTACACAGCGACAGTCAAAGATTTCCGGACGACAAATATCTTTCACGCGCAAATTTAGGGTCCCGCAACCATGGAGCAGAACTGACCGCACACTGGCGCATTACACGTAATCTTTCAATTTCAACGAAACATCGAGTCTGCACCAAAGGTGTTTCAATGCTGCATAAACTGCTCGAGCCTTGGAAATGCGGGCGGTTACTTCATTGACTATACTACCGTCATTTGTAAAGCAGCTACCTAATTAGGTGAAACATTCTACCATAGCTAATTCTTGACCATCAAGTATCAGCGCTGGGATAGATGACACCCAGTCTTGTGGCATAAGTTTGACCGCATATGAAAGAGAACGACAGTCTGCGAAACATGGAATCAACATGAGCGCAGTTGTGTGTGTGTATTCCTCGAAAGACTGAACAGCGAGAGAAAAAACAAGGAACATCACGGAAAAAAGAAAGGTAGAGTGCAAAAAAGAGGGGTGGGGGGGTTGACACAAGAGCGTGAAATACTCTACATGAAAATACACAACGCGTATGGGCAGCATAGCCGGGCTGTACAAGACTAGGTGAATCAACTGTGCACCTCTGTGTGCCACGTACGCAACAAAATTAATCACCGAGTCGATCAAACAGGCACTGAGCACAAAGAGATCATATCTCGAGCGAACGGAACAAGTTCGAATGAAGTTCCGAAGTAACCGGAGTAGATGAGCTGTGGAACGGAGCGAGAACGGCAGAGAAACCGTGAAAAAAAAACAATACTGGTTGACAACTCAGTCACGTAAAATGTGGGGTGGAGATGCGAGGAACCAATCAGCATGGGACCCAGTAAAACTATGATCCGAACCAATCAGAAAAAGATCGGGTGAAAAGAGGGGAGATCAATTAGCGCCGGAAAGAAAGCTGGAATCCTTTTGTATTCATGTACACATTTATATATATAAAGAACAGGGACCATAACCGAGGTAAAGGCAGGCAGGCAGGTAGGCGGAGACCCCTGAGAGATCGCGTGTATCGAACGAGGGCTCGAGGGCCGGCATCGAAGTGGAAATCAACAGACGAGGAGTAGACTGAGGCTATTCTGGGCATGGAATGCACTAAACACCCTCAAGATCATTCCAATCGTCAGAGTGTTCTTCTTGGGAACAAACAAACAGGGTTGACGGGGGAACCGCCCCGTCAACTAGGGCCAAATGCGCGGGTACAGGGGTGATACCCGATTGGATTAGATGCATTTGAGTGGTATTCGGCAGTCCGGAAGACTCCTCCTCGTCCTGGCTGTCGTTATCATCATCATCATCCACTACAGCGTCATTGTTCAGACCAGCATTGTCTTCCTCTTCCGAATCCACAACCTGCCAACAATCGCTCATCACCGTGTGCGGTCCATTGATTCCATTCATGGCCAGTTTGTCATGTGATGCGAGCAGAGGATTTATACCGGACACGGATAAGTAATGACGACGTGCACGGCGGGAGTAGTACAAACGCACAGGGAACTCCAAGAGGAGCAATAAGCCGGCCAAAATGAGCATGAAGAAGCACACTCGCATCGGCCAGACGTAGTCGTTGGTGACATCAGACAAATAACCTGCAAATGAGACAGAATTGAGACACCAGGCATGATCAGAACGACGAATGTTTTATATTACAGGGAGAAGGACAGTTGAGGTGTGTGAAAACTCTGTACTATAAGGCAACCGCTGAACAACGTTCGATCGTTCTGTAACCAAAAAATCTTTGTCTATTTCACAGGTTGTAACATACGGAATGTGCTAGGTCGAAAGAATGATTGATATTTGCGAAGTAGTAAAGCTATCGATTAGGTTGATAGCATGGCTATCTAATTGAGGCTCGTAACCGCCAGTTCTGGAACGTGGGTTGTCGGGATCCCTTAGTTAGAAATAAATCCCGAGATTGAACTCTATGTACGTTAGTAAAATTGATTCGTCGAAAGGGATATGTCGGATTTACAGAGACCATGACGTCTTAGAGGGTTTGAAGCAGATTGATGAAAAGAAAATGGGGAAAGCACAGAAGAAGGAGAACGACTGAGTGAATGAACAATTCTGTTAGTTTCACTGTGAAACATTTGTCCATTACGGAGAACGGGATTTCGACAAATAAGTAGCACAAAAATCGCGCTACTGACTATACTTAGCCATATATCGCAGCATTTCTAACCATCGGCGATCTTCATCTCTTGGGTCCCAACCTGGAAGGCGAGCAGCACCAACCAAAGCCAATGCTGATTCCAGCTTCTTCACACCTCTACGTCATGTCATGGTCCGACCGCTGCGACGCTTCTTCCAGCCTTGGCGGGCACGTGCAAAGAGAATACGAAGATAGATGATGGACAGACATATGTAAAACTTAACTAAGCCATCGGAGCCGGTGTGGAGCGATTATTTCTGTTAGAAAATGACTGTTAGTACCCAGCACACGACGACGAACCTCTTCGCCACTGGACTACGAACCGCGGCGATGTACACCCTTACCTTGAGGGACAGTCGGATGTGATAGCGGCGCCACAGATGTCGTAGGTTGGCAGAATATATCGACGACTAGTCTCCTAAACGCTCATTTTCCATTCGACTGGTGTGAATTCAGTCCAGATCTCTCTGGTACTTTTGTTAGTCAGACAGATTTCCTTGATAATTTTGTACATCCACTAGGGAGTACTTAGTTTCATATGGTGTATTACGTCTTGCTGAGGTTTTCAGGCCCCAGTTCTTAAATTGAGTTAAGTCACCTATCAAGTGGTTTGCCGGGATGTGGCTACCGATGTATTCCTTTGCTTCTTGGGGCCATAGGCAAGTTGGCTAAATGCTGTGGATCAAAGATATAGGATATGACCCAAAGGACAGCTCCTCAGACACTCCCTACATGCCGGGACTACACATGCCATAGAAAGAAGGACGGTTTCCACCGGAACAGTGGCGGTGAGCACAAAAAAATAAACACATACCGATTGCGAATTGGCCGGGAGAGATGAGCAAACCGAGCACAACCATGGTCAGTGCCAGAGAGCGTGGAAGTTGAGCAGGACCGACCCAGTCAGAGAGGACAACAACCATCTGGGTCATGGCTGTACCACTACAGACACCGTGAACAGCGAAACAGACGAAGTAGCCCACGATCAGAGCTGTCGGAGTTTGCTGGATCTGCTCGACAGATATGGCGTGATTGGATAGCGTGGAGGCCGGAAATAGGACGAAGAGTGGTAATTGTGAGGAAGGAGAAAAGAAAGGCATATATATATATCGTAATTGCAAATACGTACTGTGCAAACTGCATACAGAGGGACAACAAATAGCTGTGAGAGACATGCACAAATACAGCTACAAAGGCTAACCAGCAAAATAGGTATCAACTGGGCACCGGTATGAAAAAGAAGCCACCCTAGGTGAACCGTTCCCAAACCTTCGAATCGAACCGCTTATACGGGAAAGAAACTGGTGTTTATTTCGCCAACCGATGCGGTTTTTATGACTGTGAGAAAACTGATAATGCAAATGATCGTATTCGCATCTAAACGATCAATGGCAGATTTGGGCCAACTAACCGGATTTCGAAAATCAAACGCCCCGGGTCTGACTGGAGCAATTGATCATTAGACTATATTTTCACACACACACACACACACGCCTGAATTCAGACTATGTGCCGAAAAAGTTACCAACCTACCTCGTCAACCGAACTTGCTAAATCCTGATTTCTGACTATGCTGAAGGAATCACTGGTCACAACCACCCACCCCTGGTATCGAATGTGACAGTTGTGTCCAACGAACAGAATATCGCCCATCCACCCCAATGGACCGTGAACTGCGAGCTCCGTCTAGGTCTTGTGGGCTAGCTGTCTACACGCTGATAGCCGGAGTCAACTCACACTTACGGCTTGTGCAATC